GCAGCGAGAGCTGCGTCAGTGCCGCAGACCCCACGTGCGCAGGCTGCTCTTCCTTGGAAATAGGAGCAGGAGCTTTGCGTGAGGGGTTGGTGTAGGAACACATAGTTGTCTGGTGCCTACCTGCAGATGTAATGGTGCCTGCAGGAGGCTGGAGGTAAATCTCAACGTTATCTGTTGTGAAACAGCAGCCCTGTTGTAATTTTGATGTGCGACTCGGCTTTTTTTTTTTTTTCCCCTCAGCAAATTATCTCATACATAGTCATCTGTATTTTTCTTTAAGAAATGCAGGAAATGAGAAGACCTAGTGTTAAATGAAACTGGAAATGACCTTAATGAAATAACGCAGTGTTTTCTCTTCTCTTTTTCAGTTTAGAGTTTCTATACCTTGGAGGGAATTTCATTACTTCAATTCCACCTGAATTAGCAAACCTGCCTTCTCTGAGCTATCTAGTTCTGTGTGACAACAAGATCCAGAGCATTCCACCTCAGCTGGCACAGTGAGTATTTACTGTCATCAGCCACCAGCTGTAATTAACTCTTTGAGCTTTTTCTTCTGCCTGCGTGGATAAAAGCACCTAGGAGGACCTATTTGTCCTTCAGTTTGTTAATGTGACTAGACTTGAACAAGAAGATCCTTAGCATGGTGCACTGCAGGCAGACCATGAATATATAATATGGAAATCTCAAAGGGTCACGGTAAAAAAAAAAAAAAATGTCACCGAGTATACACTGTAAGGTGAATTAATAGATTTGTACAGGGAGCCCTGAGAAGTACCTGGGCAACTCAGAAAAGATAAACTGCCATGCTACCGTATTCTTAGCGATGAATGCTTGGTCTGTTTTGTCCTTCACCCAAAGCCTTTTTGTGCGTGCTTTTGTGTTGTACCATCCCCTGTGTTCCCTTGGCATTTCTTACCCTAGGGTCTCAGAATGGTTTAGTGTTCGTTAAATCCTACAGCACAGCCCTAGAGGATAAGTTACTGCTTTTCTGTTTCATAATGGGGGAAGGAGGACACTGCAAACTCTGTACGGGCAGCCTAAGATGGCAGGTGAAGAATTCAGTGTGTAGCTGTAACCCCAAAAGCAACTGAATGGCAGCACAGAGTTTTCAGAGTTGGAATTTGATGGTGTAGTGGGATTATTCTTGATGTACAATGTCCAGTTGTCTTGTAACTTGTACTGGTTTGAGAGCATCCCTGGATGCTGTGCTGGAGCGTTGCTTTGTGCTTCCTGAGAGAGGAGAACGCTTCTTCCAAGAGCCAAAAAACTGCTTGTCACCTGTGCCGATGCTAGCCTGGCCTGACCTTGCTTAGCTTTTGAGATCTGGTAGTATCACAGCGCAAGGTGATGCAGCCGCAAGCAATGAAAACATGGGGTTTTCCAGGGCTGGCTGCCTACCAGCAATCATCTTTAATGCATGAGCGAAAGCAGGTGACTTATTCAAAGTATTGCATGGAACCGTTCTCGATGCATGCACTGGATACAAGGAAACATTATCTCCCCCGAAAGCGCTCAGTTTGTATACTTTTGTTCTGTGCTGCCTTTTCTGGGGTGTATGTGTGGGGAATACTGAGAGGGACTGCAGCATATTTAAGACTGTTTCTTTAACAGGCATTCTGGAGCTGAGCCAAGTTTTCTAGGGCATTGTGTGTGCTGGAGTAACAGCAGCTCTTTTAGCACGAATTTATGCTTTAAAAGGAAGAAAAGCCAAAGGAAAAGAAATTGTTGGGAGAGAGGAGAGTAATCAGGTCTGCGTGTAAGGCAATTGTGGAATGATTTTGCTTGCACATCTTGACTGGGTTTCCATCTCCATCCTCAGGCTGCATTCCCTGCGTTCCCTGAGCCTGCACAATAACCTGCTGACTTACCTTCCTCGAGAGATCCTTAACCTGGTTCACCTGGAAGAGCTGAGCTTGCGTGGGAACCCACTGGTCGTTCGGTTTGTCCGTGACCTGACCTACAATCCCCCGAGCCTTCAGGAACTGGCTGGACGCACAATTAAAACTCGCAATGTTCCCTACGCTCCCAGCGATCTCCCGGAGAATCTTGTCCGATATCTGAGCTTGGCCAGCAACTGTCCCAATCCTAAATGCGGGGGTAAGTTCTCCTTAACTGCTCTGCTCCCTGCTTTTACCCTGGGGGTTTTCTTTCCCTCTGACTTGCCACGACTTCAGTAGCTCAGTCAGGTTAGATGTGTTGTTGCATCCAAATTCCAGCTGTATTTCATTGGCTCCGGGTCTCCTGCAAATTTGTCTTTAAGGAGCCTTGTTCGCTTAGGAGCGACGTTCAAAGTTGTCGTGCTGGTTTACTGTATTTGCATGGGAATGTGAGGCGGTGTTTCTGTCAGAGTCTTTGCAGCTCATCCCAGGACTCCACTACGCTTTTATGGTCTGAAGTTTCCGATCCGTCTGCCCTGAAATAGCTCAGACTAAGTAATGGGCAGGAGAACTTTTGCAAGCACTCTTGCTGAACAGCAAGCTTCACTTCTGGATGGAAAAGAGGAGGGAGGCTGTAGTGCTTGGTAGTTACCAAGAGCAACTTGTTTAGCTCTTGCTTGGGACTACTAGCATGTAGTTCCTGGAAGGAGAGGACTTCATAGAGAAGCCTGGAATGCTTGGGCTTAATTTGGCTTAATGCTTAATCTTTATCCAGAGTAAATGATCTGTGCATTCGGCTTTTAGAAGATTAAGGGAAAAAAAATCATTAATTAGTATCTACCCTGGAGTCATAATGCAGTATATTACCTTATCTCCTTACCCGACAATATCAAAGCGCGCTCCGTAAGCAAAGACGGAAGGGCTGGAACTTGTGTTGGAAGGGAGAGAAACGTTTCTTTTTTTTTAGAGCTTTGCACAGCTTGGATAACAGTGGATTGGGTTTGCTCTTGTTCACTTTTCCTTATGAACTAGCAGAGCACTGCAGCATTGCTCTAACACTGCAGGAGAAAAGCTTACTCCAGACCAGCTTGGACTTAAAACACAGCTGGAAACTTCTGAAAATGTCACTGTCTAAAATCACCTGCTGTGACAGGAGGAGAAGGTAATTGTGTGTTACAGCAACGCTGTTGCCATGGAAAGTAGCATCCAAACTCAGCATGGTGACTTCACTCAAGCAGAAGAAAAGTAGAGCTATGAAGGTCTATTTGTGAAGACATTTTTGCTAGCTGGTAGAAGAGGTTATACAGGTTTGAAAATAGGGTGAATGAATTAATTTGACATTTAGGAAGTTTGCAAATTCCCAGCCTGAGATTTCTCCCTAATGGTTAGAAGAAATCGCCAGATTCTTTGGAAGCAGCTGCCGTGTGTCTCTTCATGTAGAGCATGCCATTCTGAATCACCTACCAAATACAGTTTTACAGGTTTGTTTGTTTTGTTTTGTTTTTACTAAGAAAAGAAATTTCACATTTCCGTAGCTGTCCTGGTCCCTTCTCTTCCTCCAGTATCCCTTGTGCTTCTGCGTTCAGTGGATTGTCAATTAAATCCTAATTTGAGGCATTTGTAACAGCCACAACAGCCTTGCAGAGCTTACAGATTTCTCCGCGTGGGGTCTCACGTGTTGTTACTGTTCCCTCTGCCCTTACAGGTGTCTACTTTGACAGCTGCGTCAGACAAATCAAGTTTGTTGACTTCTGTGGGAAGTATCGCCTCCCGCTGATGCACTACCTGTGCTCCCCAGAGTGCTCCTCTCCCTGCAGCTCTGCCTCCCAGAGCTCTACTTCCCAGAGCGAGTCTGACTCTGAGGATGAAGCCAGCGTCGCTGCGCGCAGGATGCAGAAAGTCCTTCTGGGATAACAGGGAGCGATGGGAAGACGGGAAGGAAAACGTATTTGAAAAGCGATAACGGAACAGCGAAGCATGAGCCTCTGGCCTGAAGGGCTCACGAGAAACTGTCCTCAAGTCCACGTAAGGGGCAGAACATCTTAGCAAGCCTAGGCTTGCTTGGTGCAGTGCTACTTAGGAGAGCTAACTCAGTGGCATGCTGCCTGTAGGGTGCCTGGGGTTGTTAGAAACATCTCCTGTCTGGGAGACACCCCCCCTTCCCTCGTACGGGCTGGGGAGGGGGATTTGTTCTCACTGGCGGATTGAGAAGGGTTTTAATATATGACACTTCACTGGACTTCAGTCGTCCTGCAGAGCAAAGGAGACTGTCCAGACCTTTTAACGCTGTGGTAAATCAGAAACAGGCTAATGATGCCATGTGAGTATGTATGGACCCCAAGATCTTATATAGCGTTTTGATTCTTTGCTGTATCCTTTGATTTCAGTTACAGATTTTACACCCATCCACTAAAAATGGGAGTTGGGGTTTCTTTTGTTCAGGAGTAGATTTTTCCAAACTCTGGTTACTCTGCCTAGAGACGTAGGGTCTCTGTGCTGTTACAGATGTTACAGCCATCATAGAACTGAGCCACCTTTCTTCTCCCTTGTTATACCAAGCTGCTTTTAGTGTTTCCTCCTAACTGTATTCGTTATCTTTCCTCCCTCTGCCTCTTCCCATTTCACCGGGAGTGTTGCTGTCTTTATGGTGCCTTCAGAAAACAGACGAGTTGTTCTATTGAGACTTGGTATTACTTCAGACTTGTACATGCCTGTGCAAGGGACCAGATGCGATGCTCTGTATCATGTTTTTGAGTCTCAGCTTACGGGAGCAAATCTGCTTTTAGATCTGTGAATTGCAGGAAAGGTCTTGATTGGCATTTCTTGTTTCTAAACCACCATGTCCCCCTGCCGCAGCTAGCTCTGCTATGCTTGGTACAGAGTTAATGTCCGTCTTTAAGGTCATCTGCTTAAAGTAGGCAGCAGCTTAATGAATTGGAAGTACTGAGAGAAGTGCCGTGGAGAATGGGGTTTTTCTTATTCATAACATGAGAGGAGAAGCCGGTAGGGAGGCTAAGGCGCGTTGTCTGAGCATCTTGCACGAGGTGGTTTTGAAACCTCTTCCTTATTTATTTGTTTGCATTTGCCCTTGTTATAATAGCTTTGGCAGTCTGTGGGATTGTTCAAATAACACGTTCAGTTATCTTACGCTACGTTTAAAGGAAAGCCGCAGAAAATAGCGCAGAATTTTTAAGTATCAATAAATAGCTTATACAAATTAATAGTACAAATTGACAGGTATCGATAAATCTACTGTATGGGACTGTTGTGTGTTTTGCTCAGTGAGTGCTGCCCCTTTATTAATATTTCATGGCAGATGGTCCTTTTGATGCAGTTTCAGATAGAGCAAGCCCAACGGCGCCTTTGAATGCGCGAGCAGAGCAAATACATTGTGTTAAGAAGCTAAATGAACAAGAAAAACTTTTCTTAACCCACTTTGGTCCTACGGGGGAAATTAAAAACCTGTGCTCCTCTCCTGCATTCGGAAAACACGTGAAACTATTGGAATATCTCATGGCAGCTCTGTGTTAATGGTCCTGTTTAATTATATTTGACACTTTATATATTAAAGCACTTTGATAATTCTCCTCTTTGTAACTAGCTTTAGTGATATTTTTTTTTATTAGACTACAATTTTTCCTTTAATGTGACCTGAAGAATAAGGTCTGTGAAACTTTGTACGTTCCAGTCTGTCTCGGTGTGCAGGTTGAACTTCTTGCCTTGCATTTCCTTGACAGCACTGCTCATTTCCCCAGTTTCCTTTGGAGAGAACTGGAATTTGAAAGAAATTATCTGGTTGTAAAGTAGCACCCCGTCCATTATCAATCATTGCGACTTAGTCTGAAGATTACACACACGCACAGATCCACAAGGAACTAAACTGCACGTGCTCTGTGCCTTTCCAAGTAATTTTTTTAAAGTATATTTTTCAGACACAATATGGTACATGTGCAAAGCAACTGGGTGTCACTTCGGCAAATTCTGTGGGGTTTGCTTGGGAAGAAGAACCTACAGATTTTGAGAGAAAAGGACTGCATGCTGTTAGTTCAGTCGGGATCAGTGAGTGGCCTCTGTTTTGTTCTTCATCTCCTCTTTCAGATACTTCTTCCTGTCCCAAGTGAATATCGTCACACCAATGCTGAAGGGCAGTACACTGATTGCAGGGCTGGAATTTTAAATTGGCTGCTAGTGTAACAGTAGTGAGCAACTGAGTGATCTGGAACTTGGCTCTTCTGCCAGTGAGAGTGAGCCACACAAATTGAGATCTCAAGATCTTTTGAGCTCGGGGCCATGAGGTACCACCTTCCTTTCTTCTCTTTAGCAGCAGCTATCTTGAAGGCATGCATTTTTTCACTTCCCAAAGTTAGATTTCACCACGGTTCCTGTTTGCATGGTAGCACCTCTGTGTGTGACGGGTTAAGACCAGTGGTGGCTGGTTCTAATTTAGCTCAGTCCTTGACTGCGTTTTCTTTCCTAACTGAACAGGCATCCCATTTCTGCCCCCATTCTGATAGGGCTAATAGGCTAATCTTTACTGTAGCCAGTTCGAAACTTGACAGCTTATGCAGTTGATATCTCTATACGTTTTTAGACTTGATAAAATGTCTTGTCTCTCAAAAATTTATATATATTCCCGAATATAGCTACCCATTTTTCTTTTTGCTGCTGGGCTTTAAAGTGCAATTCAAGTAAGTCAGAATTTAAAACAATCAAGGACTTGTAAGAAAGACAAATCGTGGGTTGGTTGTGGGGTTTTTTCCCCTCAGAGGTGGATTTGAGAGGACTAGGGATGCAGGTTCGTACTGTAGTGCCTAATGTACTGAGCGGGAGTCAAGTTTTTCCAGCAATTGTTAGCCCCCAAATACTGGAAAATGTACTGGGCAATAAAGTAGGTAAGACAAAACTTGAAGATACGCTGTTGGATGGTTGTTGGATGGCCCCTTCTCAGGGGCCCTGAGAAGTAGACAGTGGTTTTGCCAGCATTACAGCTCTCTCTGTCGGTTTTAGAGAGCGGATTTCAGTTCTTACAGATGCGTTTCCGAGTGAAGTCTTCAGTCAGTGTTTTGGTATCAATCCCCTTGTTGCTACAGCAGCCCAGCACGTCTGGCTTTTGAAACCGTTCTTAAGGCGAGACCCAAGTGTGTGAAGCGAAGTTGCTCATTCCCTCTTCCCCGCGGGGTCCGGGGCCCTGCCTGCATTCATCCTCTGCCCCGCCGTCTCTCTGCCGAGGGGAGCTGCTGGTGCGTTTCTGAATGCAGGTGCTTAATGTGAACAGTGGGGCCGTGTTAAAAAGAAGCAAAATATCAATTTGACTGGAGGCAACTTATACAGTTGCCAATTCTTTTATGTTTCTCTTTCTTCAATAAGAGGTGAGACTCGAGGAAGTCAGTAATGAATATTTAAACATACTCTGAAGTGGCCAGATGCAGTTTTTCATGGGCTTCTGTCCTGGTCATTTTAAGTCTTTGAAATCTTGTGTTGAATTATAATGGGAGTAGGGGGGGAGGGAGGGGAGAACCAGCTCCTTTTTGTTCCTTACTCTTGTTGGCAATAATGAATGGAAGGAATTTAATCCAATGAAAGTAACGAAATTTAATCCCTGCAATGTGTCTTTGTTACCCAGTTCAAAGAACTATTTTAATGCATCTTATTCACACCATGCCCTCCCCCCCCAGCTGAAGATACTTCAAATAGACTACTTCAGAATGCACACTAATACAGCAGTAACTCTATCTTGGAAACCTTTCTATTGATTATTTCATTTGCCTGCCTGACTAGAGGATTGATCTTTTACCGACCTGAACGTTAAGGGTAGCAAGGGTTCTCATCCAGCCCTCTTGTTGAATTTTTATCATGAACATTTGTTTTAGGAAGTCTTAAAGTGCCTTATGTTTTTAAAAGTGTATTTTGCTAGAAATGTATGAATGTAGAATATCTCTAACAGTATTTCATTATGAGCTGTAAAACAAATTGCAAACACTAAACCAAAAATGTTATTTCTACAGTTGTCTGTCCGTTATTTGCCGGCATCTCGATTCTGGTATTGCTGCAGGCAGAACCCTTGCAGAATTGTAAACTTTAAAAATGGGGCTATGCCTGGTGGGGGAACAGATGAGGTTCGACCTGTGCCATATAAAACCAAGAGCAGGTGAGACTTCCAAAGGGACTGCCGAAACTCTTGGCTTTTGGGGCCCACTTGCGACAGACCAGAGAGCGTTACAGCCCAGACCCTGTTCTGCTTCTGGTACAGCATTGCAGAAATTTGCTCCACAGTTTAAAGGTAGAAGTAACTCACGGGCAAGGTAAATGTACAAACAAGAGAAGGCAGTGTCATGGCTGAGTTTTCCAGCAATATGAAACAACAGTTCTAAACTACTTGAATTGTTTCCCACTTAATACACTAACTCTGAAACCTGTGAATGACTTCTTGAATGTTAATTTTCTGATCATGTTAACTGGCTAATGTGTTCCCTTTTCTCGTGTAATCTCATGTTTCCTCCTACATCCTGAAGAGTTTTTGTGATCTATTGCCAAAATGTTTCAGATCCTGCCGTGCAATTACCAGTTGTCAGTGCAGAAATGTGGTGTATTGGAAAATGGGACAGTGGGAAACGAGAATTACGTGATATTAACTTCAGCAGG